GTCGTTGTGGTAAAGTAAGAATCTGCGCCTACCGCGTGCGCGCGCGCCGCGAAACACGCGATACGGCAATCTGAACTCATACAGCATGCGCTTCGCGGCATCTGTTATCCGATCGTTGCCAGTGCCTGTCCAAATCTCGGAGCCTGCCTAGTCTGTCCGGATCCTTCAGGCATGTCTTGTGATTCCGGACGGTTAGATGTCATGGGCGTCATACGTCTTGTGGTGGTGGTGGTGGTGGTGGTCGCGCTGATCACTTCAGGCCGCGGAGTGTGGTCCGAAGTCTCCTCCTCGCCCACCGCATTCCCGTTACGTGTGACGGCGCCGGGCCTGAGAGGAAATAAAGTACGGATACGTCCACTTTCCCACCCCGTCTGAGAGTAGGGCAAAGTCTCTCTCACAGACCATTGACAGGTCCAACCTTGGTACCAACGCATCTCGGACTGTGACATGATCCTCACCTAAGCAACTCAATGTGAGCAACGGGCGAGCTAGCTGTCGCCTCGCTGCATCGCACGTTCAGTCACTAAACCCTTCCCTGGATATCTTGCGAGCGCCTCAGGCTCAGGCCTTGTGCCGGGCCGTCCTGCGTGCTTCTTGCTCTCGCCTAGCGCCGGGCTTCATGGCTTTCTGCCCTTCCAACAACCAGCCAAGCCAAGCCTCCCTTCATCCATATTCCTTTGCTTCATTCGTCGATCTCCAATCTTGCCCTGGCCCCCAATCATCTTCTTCGGCAGGCGGTCTCACCCCTAGGGCGTGCCCGCAGAGAGACGTCCTTGTTCCAGATAAATTCGTCGTTCGGATCCAGTTGCTGCCCAGGTGGGGTGGATGGGAAAGTTTGATCAATCCCTTCCCTTCACTTTCGAACAACTCACCGGAGCGTGAGCGTGTACCACATGACAAGCCAGTCTTGTTGGTTGATTGATACTCGATAGAGACGGGAAGAACAATGGCCGCATCCCACGCGTGACGAGCCCCTGAGCCTCTGAGGGAGGTAGGTCGGAGGGTGTCAATCGCAGATTCCAGGGAGCGTATGATTGCAAGAGGCTATAATACGGTTTGGACGGCATGTTCCATCTCTCGTCCCATACTCTGCGACGATCAATCCAAGGTCCACATCCATTCTTCCCTTTTATCCGCCGAGAGCTTTTGCGACGAATTCTCGCGCTTCTTCGGGCTCCAGATTTGCCCCGCGATAAAGGCTGTGCATGCAGGCAAAGTCAGTATGCCAATTTCGGCCACAACTGTTTCTGTCTCTAGAGAGCGCTGCCCACTGCCAGCTTCTAGTCCGACTGTCCGGCACCGCCTAGAGCACCAAGACGATTCATTTCGTTTCAGCGGCCATTGCCCGCCGGTGGGATGGGTACCTATTTGGTTGATTCTGTGGACGGACGGGGTTCCGTGACCGTCTGGCTGTTCCCGAGGAAAAATAAAGTAGGTCGGCTCCGTATATTAGCTGACCTTTGTTAAGACAGATCGTGGGATTGAGGTGTGAAGGGCCCGATCTGGTCTCTGGCAATCGAGATTTCCCCGAGCCTCCCAAAGCGCGTCTGATTCTGGTGCCACCAATGGCCACCAATGAATGCCAAAGTTGCGGATTAGTGATTAGTAGGAAATAGGAGTCTCGACCGCGCTGCTGAGAGCCTGAGACAATTTCGTCGCTGCCGGATCGGCCAGAGCTGCTGTTTCCTGCAAAGCGGGACAAGGAACTCGGCTTCCAAGACCTTGGCCAGACCTCGTTCGGTGTTATCTTTCCAGCACCATCAGTTGGCCAGCCGGCTTCAAGGGACGCGTGCCGTTGACGAAGAGGCATCCTTGTCCTGCACGAGGTATTACCTCGAAAACAGCAAGGCCTTGAAACGGGCCAGCACGACATATCGGGTCGTAATAAAGTAAGTCCCCACGAAAGCCCCCTCAGATTCAGTGTTGGCGGGGGCCCAGATGCGGTCCGTTGTTGTGGGAAGCTCGCAAGTCGGCTCCGAGCAATTCTCCTGGGGGGATTCGGGAGGGCGTGGTGCACTGGCGCGCACCGAGACAGCCGACGAATCCAACAAACGGTGTTGCAAGTCTACGAATGGACCGTCGAATCTCGAACCTTGGGTGTGCCGCAAGTTCGGTTCCGGCATCGGGTTCGTATGTTGTATTTGTGCAGTGCTAGTTCGAAACGCGTTGGGGAGTGGATGTAATTCCAGGATCCGGCTCTGGGCCAATGGGCAGGCTTTGGAACGATCGCAGCGCGGCCCTGACTTTGCGGGCGTCTAAGCAGTGCCAGACTGCCAGTGTGAGTGAGCAGAGGATTTGACCCGCAACTCGGCCGAACAGGCTTTGTTGGAGCTGCTGCGGCTATTATGCAGGTCGTACTCCGTATGCATGTGGTGGCAGCGCAACGAGGCGAAGTGAAAGCCGGAATAGAGCATCTGGGATTGAACATTGGATCATGGATGGGCGTGCAGTAGGTTCCGTCAACGTCAAAGAACGGAATAAAGCATCCCTCATACGACAATTGCCGCGAACAGCTTCGTGTCGGTGCAACAAATGTGGTACGTATTTCTCAGCCAGTTCCCCATGTCAAACTCTGCGAAGGGACGAGCGAACGGTTTGAGCGGGCGAGAGGAAGGCATTGCGTGTTGCGGCGCAACAACAGGCACAATGGAAGAGAAGAGCTCGGGATTGGAAGACCGAGAACTACGATGTACTGTGGTAAGGTAAGGTGAGTTAGGGCTCGCCGAATGACGATCGACCAACAGACCCCCGGACGGGACAGCAGATCATCAGTCGATTCTGGTGACAGAAGGTTTGGTTCCCGCGGTGCTGGCCTTTTTGACGCAAAGCTTCACGATGTGGCGAGGTTGTCAGTCTCGGCTCAGGCTTGCCGAAATCGAGGAAGACCTGGCTTGGATGTATGTAGGTCATGACTGAAGTAAGAGCAGATGCGATGTGGTTGGTGGGAGCGGGATCTCGCAGACATCGGACGAGGATTCGGAGGCAGAAGTGACGGTAGCATGGTGAGAAGCGACGGCGAAGCCGCCAAGCTGATACTCGGACCAACATGCTTGGGCTTGCAGCTGACGACGTCTCTCGACTGTCGAGTCTCGAATTTCGAGTACTGCGTATGTGTATCTGTACTCTGTGGGCTGGACACAATGAAAGGCAGCAAAGTATGGCTGGTGGGCTGCGTGCTGCGTGCTGCGTGCTTGCTATCGACGCCCGTTGAGGCTGCACGTATCAGGTTGACAAACTAGGGAAGTAATTGACAGTCGTCAGGAGCTCGAGTGCTCATAGAGCTGATTGGCAGGGTAATCTGGAGAATTGTTCTGGAACTTGAAGGGTCCCTTGCAGCGGAGGGCATCTTGGCGAGCTTGCCAGTCGAGACAGGCAAGCCGCAATTGCACGGAGTAGGTCGAGTCGAGGCGAGTGTCTTGTATAATTGCTTTTGGTGATGCCAGGTCCAGTGCGTTTGACTTTGAAAGCCGCAAGAGAGTGGAACGATGGCAATGACGTGTGGATTTTGATGAAGGGATTCAGTGTCATTTCCGAGTTGACAAAGTGTTGTCTCCGTAACCAAGGTAAGGTACGGAGTATTCGTACGAATAGTACGGAGTACGGACATGGAGGAAATTGAGGGAGGCCACTGGAACTCGGGGAGCCTCTCTGCCGATGCTGTGGGAAGGTACAGAACGACTTGGACCTTCCATTTGGAAAGTGATCCATACACCTCGGGCAGGGGCCGGAGACAATTCCGTCGCACAAGGCAGGCAGTTGCAGTCTGCACTTGCTGCACAGAACTGAGAAGGGAAAGAAAGAAAATAAGCACCTTCCACCGGGAAAGCAAGGAGCAACTCGGCTAGATTCCAAGCGAGACTGGCGTTCTCGCTTAGCACTTTGGGGTGTCTACAGTGAGGTTAGCGCCACGGGAGCCCCGAACGTCTGGCGCTGACAGAGCATCGAGCCGGTTTTAGCGCACTTGGAGCTACCCTACTTGAACGTCTTGGTGGTACACCCTACATTATAATTGGACAAGCGCCGGGAATAAGGTAAGCTTCCACACTGAGGAGACACCCAACCTCCGTCGGTTAATTCCAGGCAACGACACGATGGGAAAGTATTCCCGCCTACGAATTTTGGCCAGTTGGTACCAGGGCATTTTGACATTCCCCGTCCCTTCCACCTTTCTTTCTGCCAATCTGCTTGCACCTCCAAGTTCCAGGCTTCCAGTGCCCTTCTAATTGGAACCTAACCAACCGTTCCACGTCAATTCATCCTCCATGACGGGGGGGGAGTATCCGTACGGATCCAATACCTTCAGCAGTTTTGCGCTTACTGTGCCGCTCGCATATCCAACAAGATTAGGCTCATCCTTACCTTACCTTAGAGAGAGAGACACACACACACACACTATCTCTTTCAGTCTCCGTCCCTTCCGCTGTTACCTTATCTCAAGACCTTAAGCTCGTCGTCTGCTCGAACCCCGGCCTCGCGCCGTTTGAACTACAATCTACAGGCCTCCCCCCGGTCTCTCGAGCGGTAATGGACAAATCGTAGAGCTGTATCCATACCTTACTTTTCTCTTTCGCGTAGATTTCCGTTTCGCGGAACAACCTCAACCACCTCACCACCAATCCACGGCCCCTCATCTTCAAGCTCCCAGCCCCTCGTTTGCTCGCTCATTCGCGCGCGATCATCAAGTGCTCTATTCAAACGCACCTTGGGTCATGTCGTCGTCGTCGTCGTCGTCGTTTCCATCTGAGGTCAATGCCCATGGTTCGTGCTCTGACACCGCGGCGCAAGGTGACAAGGCTCTTCGCAAGCTTTGCTTCTAAGTAAACCAATTTCAACTCTGCCAGTCAGGCCACCTGCATTTACACAACCTCTCCATCTCGGCACATCGAGCCTAGTTCCCGTCCAAGCCGCGAATCTTGCATACGATCAGACAACACGGCGGCGTCATGGTTCAACAAGCGCAATCCGATTCTCAACCTCAGCGTCGATCAGCTGCCGCCGACATGTCCGTTGCCAACAACAACACCAGCGCAAGATCCCAACACCCATCAAAGAGCCCAGCGCCACCTCACGATGAGGCTCAGGTCGCCAAGATTCCTCACTTCCTCCCTCACGAGCGTGTCTTTCCCATACAGATAGGCAATGAGCTGTTCAAGCTCTCCGGCGCATCCATTTCATCCGATGGTACGTTCCTGAATCCCTGCCATACCCACTTCTCTCAGTCCCGTCTTTGTGTAATGCGAACTCGCCGCCCAGCGTTGCGCCGCGATCCACCGCGATCCGCGCAAGGCGCCCGAGACAAAACACCATGCTGACCCTCCGTCTCTGTCTTCAGCGCCGTCGTATTTCTCTCAATACTTTTACTGCCAGGTCAAAAAGGCGCAAGAAACCGGCGAGGACCTCTCCAATGCCATCCGCACCTTGTACATTGACCGCGATCCCCAGACTTTTGCCGACATCTCCCTCCACCTCCAAGGCTATCATGTCAAACCCCGAGACGGCACGCACTTTGTGCGACTTTTTGCCGATGCGCAATTCTATAGCTGTGCGTGTTTGCTGTAACCAATTCCTCTGCGCTTATGACTAACACAGCTCTGGCAGTGCCCAAGTTGATATCACAGCTCTACGAGGAGTCAATATTCATCTCCATCGGCCACCGCGAGTTTCAGATCCCCCGCGACATCTTCACCGACCCAGGCAATTCGCCAAACTTCTTCTCTCTAGGCTTCGCAGTCTTCTTCTCGAACCCCGAAGACCTGTTCCCCGGCCTTGACCGCGAAGGCCTCCTCCGCCCGCCCTCCATCCTACCGCCGTCCGTCCCGAACCGCTCCGCCGATACCTTTGCCGAGATCCTACACCTGCTACGCGGATACCCCGTAACGATCCGTAACGAGTCGCACCGCGCCGAGCTACTACGAGACTGCCGCTACTTCAACTTCAAAGGCCTGGAGCAGAAACTCATCCCCCATCACATCAGCCATAACCAGAGCCGCCGGCGCGAGGAAATCCTCCTGCGCCTCGAAGATATACTGAAAAGCGGCATCAGCGTCGCCGCAGACGTCTCGGCCTCCCCCGCCGAGCATCTCTCCGGCTGGGTAAACTACGCCCGCCCCTACGTTGACGACCGCGCGGCGGAGCTGGTCCTCGAAATCGGCGGCGAGAGCACCCGCCTACACTTTCACCACAGCTCCGGCTCCGTCCGCGCCGAATTTTTCAAGGACACCCGCGCCCGCGTGGCGCGCCTCTTCGAAGTCGTGGCCACCAAGCTCAATCTCCCGCCGACGACCCAACCCCTGGGCCTCCTCATGGCCTCGGGCGGCGCCGGCAGCCAGCCCCCGACACCGGGACATACCCCGCTCAGCGAGGACCTCGTGCGCGTGTCTATTGACAGCGACACCTCCATCACCCTTGACGGCAGACCACATACTCTGGACTTTGAAGACCTGCAACAAACCACCACCGCCGCCAACCCCATGTCCGCGGCCTCGAGCACAGCCGAATCACCCACAGCGACGACAGCGTTCCAGCCCAACTCGCGCAAGCGGAGGCGGGTCGACTCTCACGGCTTCGCGACGGCTGCAGGCCAGGGCCAGGCGGCGCTTGCGGCCGAGGAGTGGGTAGTTCGGACGGGCCAGTGGAGGCTCAAGATTCAGGGGTCACGCGGCGGAAAAAGCTCCGTCGAGTGCGTGCTCGTCGCCGTCAAGCTCGACGCATATAGCTCGGAGAATGCAAGGAATGCAACCAGGGGGTTCCTGAACGGATGATAGGGAATGGGGCTGCTTTAGACGGATACCACCAATATGGATTTGAATCGCTTCCCATCCCCCCTTCCCCCGCCTTCCGGTTTTGAATCTTTTTACAATCGTTCGATATATGGCCGGTATCGCCCTCACAGATCGGACTCATACCGTTCGGCCATAATGGCCTTCACGGCTGACAGGTCACGAAACGGATTACGGGAGAGTGTTGGATCTGGTTGGTCTATATACCTTGCCTTTGCTCGAGCGGGAAACGCCTCTATTCCATCAGGGTTGTGAAGAGAAAAATGGCGACTTGGACTGGAGACCAGCCCCGCTGCGAGGTATGTCAAGGCAGATGGGTAGAGCGTAGGACGTTGGCCAGGTAGAACGAGGCGGTAGAGAGGGAAAGACATATACAGCAGATCTTGGTGATGATATGAAGACTTGAAGGAGGCTAATTGGGTAGAACAAGGTCAAAAGCCTCAATTAAGTATTCAAATAAGGTAAGGCGACAACAAAAACCACAATAAGCAATACAATCATCAATCCAGGCAAACCCCCTCCTCATTTTCATCGTCATACAAGAAAACAGAAACAAGACAAGAATGCTTAACCCTCCCGTGGTATGTACTGAATCGTCAAGGTTGGGAAATCCAAACTCCTCGTCATAAGAAGGGGTCAACAGGGAAAAAACACAAAGAGGCCGTTTCTCTGCTTGCCCTCCCCTTTTATCCCAAGAACGCCGCGACCATGCTGCAGACGACACGTACCGGTCAGAGAGGAAAGGATGAGATGAAAAACAGGCCGGATGAATGAACAAAAACTCCTCTCCAAAATAGAACTCCTGGAAGCTCCCGAGCTTTCCTAGTGGACCACCGTAAACGCCCTGCTTTTTGTGCACACGTCTGATTCTTCATACACCTGTCAACCATCCAAACGAGCCACGAGAGAGAGAGTCCCGGGTGAGCTTCCATAGGCGATGTCGCATGCCCTCGTTATGCGACTGAACTGTCTGCGGATCGACCGGATTGTAAGAATCTGCCAGTGGTGCTTCAATGCCCTCAAGGGACATGTTCCGCCACACCTTACGGTCAATGGTGGACAAGGCCGTCTCGGACCGAAAGGGACTCTATGCCTTGGCCTTGGGAACCGTCTGGCCGGCGGGGGCGCTAACATCTCGCCGCTCGCCGGCACCCTCAATCATCTTCTTGCGGGGTGTCGCGGTGCCTTGCGCGATGGACTTGGCGCGTCCACGACGTTCGCGGATACGAGCAAGGGCCTCCTCGCGGGTCATGGTCGGCGTCATGGCGGGGTTGTTGATATCAAAGGACATTTGGCAGTCACCGCCAGATGGTGTGCGGGCACGCTCAAACCTAGGCTGGGGTCGGGGCTTGTCGTCGCGTACGGGGACGGTTGTCGTCGTCGTCTTGGTGTAGAAAGCTGCGGAGGTGTGGGGTCGAAGTGTATCGTCGAGCGATGACGAGGGACCTCTTGAGGAGCGGGATGCCGGACGTTCCTCAGTGTCGGGCATGGTCGGGATTGAAGGGAGAGGTGCGGTGTGAACTTCACCGTGGGCACCGCCGTGGGGTGCATTGAGTAGTGATGCTAGAGACATACGTTCTTGAGCAAGAACAGCAAAGTCTGGGGGCTCGAGGGAGGGCGTCCGCGAGTATCTCTCTGGAGCGTCGTGTGGTGTAGGAGGTTCGTTGGGGGATTCCTCACTTGACTCGTTCAGTCGTCTGCCTCGTTCTTCTTGCGCCTCGATCTCGTCGGCTTCTTGCTGTGACACGGTCCGGAAGATACCCTCGCGGGCACAGAAGATGGTGCTTCTCCTCTCTTCCTTGGATCTCCTATGGGCAGCCGGCTTCTTGAAGGTCGCGTCTTCGACTGGCGGGCTCAAGGACGCCCTCAATGACGGAGACGATTCCCTACCTCCACGGAGGAGGACCAGATCACTGGCATCGGCAATCTCAGCTGGCGGCATCAGTCTGCGCTTGGGTGACAAAATGCTCGCTCTGTTTGAAGCCAGGCTTTGTCTCGGAGAGGCGAGGCTTCTTCTCCTGTGAGACTTGGCGCATGGGCAGCAACGCAATTCGCACTCTGCCTGAAGGAAGTCGACGAGCTCCTGAGCACGATCCGCGCGTTGACGCTCCCATGATACCTGAAGTGAGAGCTCCTCAATCTCTCCTTCGCTGGCAGCGGATGAGATGATGTCAACCGTGGAAAGAGAGAAGCGCGGTCCCTTCTTCTTTGGTGAGGCAAACTCGTCGTCGGGCGCGGCGTTGGCCGTCTTGGGCAGGGGGATGCGGCCTTCGGCGGCGATGCGGGCGACCTCTTCCTCCTTGGCGAGGGTCTTGTAGACGTCGCGTTCCTGTTCGAGCATTTTGATGCGCTCGAGAGCCTCACCGAGCTCCTGCTCCATACCCACCATCTGGTAGCGAGCTTGGAACGCTTCTTCCTCGCGGGCCTTGTTGCGCAACTTCTCGGCGTCGAGGTTGTCGGAGGCGAGGCGCCAGCCTTCGCGGGAAGCCTTCAATTCTTCTTGGAGTTTGATGATCTGGGACTCGTTCTTAAATGTCTTTTTGCGCGCGAGCTTGATTTCCTTCTCCCATGCTGCTTTTGTGTGTGCGTAGGTTTCTTTTGCGCGACCGTATTGTTCCTTGAGGAGATATTAGCATGATTGAGTTGCGTCACTCGGGAAATGTGTGAAACGAGCGTACCATGACGGTCTCGAGACGCTCGCTCACGCGCTGCTCTCGCTCTTTCCCCTTTTCAAGCTGAACGCGCAAGACCTTGGACTCGTCCTTGTACCTGCGCAGCTCGGTCTCGGCCTCCTCGCGACCCAACATGGCGCGCTTGAGGGCGGCATCGGCGGTCTTGCGCTCGAGAGTCTTTGACTGCATGGCGAGGTTGTTGAACTGGGAGATCTTCTCGTGGACGGAGCTATCTCGACCTCCAGGACTACTGCGAGGCGAGGTAAATAGGTTACGAGCTTGTTGGGTTTTGTTGGCCCGGTCTGGGGTCATTGGGCTCAATGGTCCGCCCGGTGAGGACGGTGGTTCGGCGCTGTCGGCCATGATGGTGATGGCGTTTCTGTGATTATCGCGGCGAGGTATCTGTCATGCAGGTTGCGTGATTGATGGAGCAGTCGTGCGTTGAGGGTTTGTCTGCTTCGAGGGGTTGGTGCTCGAAGACGTCTTGCATGTGTCGCAGCGTGCGAGAATGACGATGATGGCGTATGGCGTTTGGAGTTGGAAAGAAACCCTTAATAGAGGTGGTATGGATCATGTAGGGTCAGGTAGAGAGCAGAGCAATAGAAGCCAAAAGTAAAGGTGTATGTAGCTGATTCCCAGTCCAGGTTGAATTGAGGTGTGGGTTGGGGCAGCAAGAACGGGTGGGCGCCTGTTTACAGTGCGGGCGCTGGAGCTGCTGCAGGTGGGTTGTCTGGGTGACGCGGCGGATTGGTCTAGCGAAATGGCTCATTTGGCCATGGGATTGGCTGAGGGTCGAGTGACATGTGTAATCAGCTCCACTTTTGGGCGAAGAAACCTGGAAAGGAAAAAAGAAAAGGAAAAAAAAAGCCGTTTGACCAAAAGAATTATTTCGATGTCGGGCAGCTACTCAATGCGGTAAGTTCACTCGGTATAACGATCTTCGGTCCGGATACCTTGGTCCTTTGGGGAAACGATTCTTTGGAAACTCGATAAACGGCATAGGGGCTATATACATGAGGATACCCATAGCCAAGGTAAGCAGGTAGGGAAGGTGAGGGAGGATGAGGAGAAGGGATGGCGATGGATTAAATGGCTTTCTTCCCTTATTCTCTCCCTGAATCCTTCTAGCTCAAACACTTGCACGGGATACTATGGTAGACTATGTTCGGAGTGATGTATGGGTTAAGCTCCCGGCCCAGAGATGGAGGGTTTCTGCTTGTTGCATCTGAAGATTCCCCAACCTGCATTGTGTCGCACAAGTGGATGCCCACTATCCGTACCATTACCTTACCTTAGGTGCTTTTTAATCGTTCTGACCAGGGTCACAGCTTCTGGAAGCTCTACCCGTATCCGTAAGGTACTCTGTATTTGTACCTTAATAGAATCATCATCTATGAGGTAAGCGGCCACGCATGAACACAGCTTGAGGCTTTGCTCTTTCCCATTAATTATTATCCCTTCCTTAAAGTACTCCGTACCGGCAAATGCTTCCGTAAGCAACTCTAAGCCTCTAACCTATCTGAGAGAGCTGCCGCCGGATGCCACTTTATGTGTAACTCCTGCGTCTCCAGGGAACTCTCCTGCATTCTTGCCAGTCTTTGCCAAAATCCCCAAAACGCTGCAAAGTGTTCCGTAAATCAAGACCTCCAACATCCCAGGGTCCCCAACTTGTCAAAAAAAGACCCAGAAAAGGGGGACTCCCATCGGATGGCTTGGATCCGCAGCGACCTATCACAGGCCGTCTAAAAGTCACTTTTTTGTCTCTCGCTCGCTCTCGGCCTCCACCTCATCGCCGTCCCGTACGCGCCGTAGAGTATTTGCCAATTGCCAGGTTCCGGCGGGGTGTGCAAGAAATCTGTCCGCGTATGGATACATACTCCGTACATTCCCAATCTTTTTCTATTTCTAGAATCGTGTTCCTTGGGTTCTGTCAGGCCACATTGACAAGTCTGGTAGCTTCCTAGCACAAGGGCGTCGATCACTTAAAGTAGCTTCCCCGGCAGTGAGACTTTCCGGACTGGCAACCTTACCTTAAGCTATCCTGCCAGCTACACATCTCACCTCCTCTCCCCAGAGACACACAATCAGGCACACACACAATGGCCGACGACGCAGCGAACCTGCGGCAGCGCAAGCGCGTCGAGGAAGTCGACTCGGACGGCAACGCCATCGACTCGGACGCACCGCTCGTCACGACAGCAGACAAGAAGAAGAAGAGCAAAAAGTCCAAAAAGGACAACACCTATACGGACGAGTACAGCCCCTACCTCGACATCCTCCGCCTCCTCAGCTTCTTCTTCCTCGCCTCGTGCGCCCTGAGCTACCTCCAGAGCGGCGGCGAGAGCTTCTTCTGGGGCCAGAAGAATAAGCCCTGGTACATGAGGCCCGACTACTGGAAGGCCAAATGGGTGCGTAACCAGAGTCCCTTCCTCCCACATTCTCAATGACAGACAGCCAAATCGAACGAAAGCTAACCATCGTAACACAAACACAGAACGGCCCCCTCTACCTGACCCCCGAAGAACTCCTCCAATACGACGGCTCCGACCCAACAAAGCCAATCTACCTCGCCATCAACCACACAATCTTTGACGTCTCCGCCAACCCGCGCATCTACGGCCCGGGAGGCTCCTACAACGTCTTCGCTGGCCGCGACGCCTCCCGCGGCTTCGTCACGGGCTGCTTCGTCGAGGACCGCACCCCCGACATGCGCGGCGTCGAAGACATGTTTTTGCCGCTCGACGACCCCGAAATCGACCGCCACTGGTCGTACGCCGATATGCAGGCCCTCCAGGCGGAAGAACGCGCGGCTGCGCAGCAAAAAGTGCACGATGCGCTGAAGCACTGGGTCGATTTCTTTAGCAAGAGCGACAAGTATGGCGAAGTGGGCAAGGTCAAGAGGGAGGATGGGTGGTTGGAGAAGGAGAAGAGACGGCCTCTTTGTGAGCAGGCGCAGAAGGGGCGTGTGAAGAGGGTTGTTCCCGGACAAGAGAAGAATTAGAGGCCAGCCGAGACTGAGGTTCTACGGATGCTGTACCACTTGCCGGAATTTGGTGTTTGTGTCGCAAAGATGATTCACTGTAGTATACTAGGGCGGGAGAGAGAAAGAAAGAAAAAGGCTGCCTTTCGTATGACATGAAGCGGTGGACCTTTTGCGATGTCCGATACCTGCTCTGTTTTTTTTTTCCCTTTTGTGGCATATTCATACGGGCGACGTCTTCCATCAAATCGGTGATTTGCTCCCGTCATCATGTGCAAGATCATGCCTGCTGGGGAAGCGGTCAAGTCCGTAATCCCCTGGCTGAGGAATATCGTTTCAAATAGCTCCGGACTCGAGTCCAAGTTTTCGCTGGTAGACAAATTGCACTCATGGCACTAGTTTTCTTGATGAGCTGGGCCCTCCTGTGCTAGGCCACCTTCTTCTCAGCATTGCAACCCACAACCGCATCTGCTCGCTTTCGTCGCTGGTGTTTGAAGGGACGAGGTACTTGTAGAGACTTGAGTGGGGGTTCTCAGTTCGACTATCCTGATGTGTTGTTGGCAGACCATAGAGATACACTCAATATATGTAGAAAAAGGAGTTCAGAATCAGGCATCTGAGGTCTTGCCATGGTCGGTGCTGAATAACACGCATTCTCAAAGTGAGAACTGTCGCAGTCGAACATCAGTATGCACCGGCTCTGGTAGAGATCCTTTTGAGGTGACGATATCCTTTTACTCGCTCTCGTGACACTCGGCGTGTACAGGAGACAGTAAAACGGATGCTCATCCTGAAGTGAGAAGAAGTTAATTAATCTTAGTTGCTTCATCTAACCTCAAAGTACGAGGCTGATTCCAGGCAATGGAACAAAATCCTCTCGCGCAGTATTCGAGTTCTCGACAAAACGCACATAGATGGACTGGAATCAACAATAACTCGATTTAGATGCTTATAGCAGCAAGTATGCGATCACACCGTTTTCCCAGCTCGTGACCCCCTCACAGGAATACGAGGTGTCCCGTCTAGTTTCGTTTCGTTTTTTTCTCTCTTCATACAGGATATGCCACCCATGAGTAAAAAGGAAAAGTGAATGGTATTAAGTTCATCATCACAAAAAATGTTTGTTTACACCGTAGTAGTAGTAGTAGTAGTCCAGAACCAAACTCCTGGCCCGTACCCTCTCTCCAATAACCCCACCCTCTTGAACCGATCCCGAAAAGCACATGAACAGGTACTAAACCTCTTACATGAGCAAGAAGGCAGCGCCGAGAGCGAGCAAAAAGGTGCCGGGTGCGCTGAGGGAGACGGCGCCGGCGGTGGGAGGAGACGACGGGGTGGCAGAGGAGCCGCCGCCGTTGTTAGAGCCTCCGTTGCCGGAACCGGAGCCACCGTTGCCGGAGCCGCTGCCGGCACCGCCGGTGGGGGAAGCGGAACCGCCGCCGTTGGAGCCGCCGGCTGCGCCGCCGCCGGGGATCTGGGCCTGGGCGACGTTCTTTGCGGCCTTTGCGTAGTTCTCAATGGAGCGGGTTGCGTTTGCCTTGGTGCTGTGGTGGGGAGTGTGAGGTTAGCATGGTTTGTGACGTTCCCGAGTTGGCTTGTGTTTTTTTTGTGTGGGTGTGTGGAAGAGGGTGACGGTGGTGTTCATGCGTCTTGTGTCATCGTCCGAAAGCTGAAACAGGGTACAGCCTCGGGGACAGCATACGCCAACCAGGAAAATGCCGACACTTTCGAGGAATTGCGGTGGGAAGTGCAAATGACTAAAGCAGAGAACAAAACTCACTTCTCGTTGATGACCATAACCATGCCGTTCTGGCAGTGCTTGCCCTGGGAGCAGTAGAGCCACATGGGCGTGGTGGAGTTGACCATGACGGTGAAGACGGGGATCTGGCCCTTGGCGGCGGAGGCGGCGACGGGCTGGTAGCCAGAGTAAACGCCCTTTGCCGAGGTGTTGACGTTGGAGATGGGGATGCACGGGTTGTCAAAGGTGGACTGTACGACGGAGTGGTTGCCGCCGCGGAACTGGAACTGAACCATGGAACCGACAGGCGCGTTGATCTTCTCGGGGAAGAACTTGAGTGTGTTGTTGGTCGAGGCGACGGAAACGACCTGGACGTCGACGGCTGTGTAAGGGGTTATGTATTAGTCGACTGTCCTGCTTTCTCCTATGCCATGCCTTCATTCCCCTCTCCGTGAAAGCTTACCCGAAGCGACAGCGGCCAGAGCCGAAACAACCATAGCTGAGATATGCATCGTGAATTTCGAGTTTTTCGGAAGAAACCGGGAAAATAGTGTTGTGAATAGTGGTTGTCGAAAAGACGGAGTCGAGAGAGTGACTACTAAAAAGTTGGAGATATTTCGAAGAAATTGGCGACTCGCGCTCTTGGTAGGACTAGCCTCTGGAAAAAGTTGAACAAAATTAAACGTAAACGGAAGAATAAGAAAAGAGAAGCAAATAGGAAATCCCGCCTCGAAGAAGTTGTCAGTGATGGAATTTCTAAAAGAAGAAGGGAACTCGAAAGGGAGGGGGGTGCGAGGGGACGGCATGAATTTAAGCAACCTTCGGGGTCGTCCCAAGAATTTGTGTCGCACGTCTCGACAACGACGAGATGCCAGAACAAGGGACCCTCAGACCCCTGCTCGGGCGGCCGTCCTAGCCTCTACCCTAGGTGGTGCCTGGGGTGGTCGTCTTGCATCTGAACAACCGTGACAACCAGAATGATGCCCACCCCCGACGGCGCGACATCAGTTGTGTACAGCCGACAGGGAGATAAGGCGACAAGGCGAAGGGATGAGGCATGGGTGGGCAGGGCCTTTGGAACGTGTGGTGGTGTTGCACTGGGGTGCGAGTGGTGGAGGCGAGAACTTGAAGCGAGGCGAAGGGACCATTGGCAGCATCGTGTGTGTGTGCGATTTGCCATTGCGAGGAGGGTAGGAAAAAGGTCAGGGGTGTGTGAGGGAGGCTGATGCAGCAGTGGTTGAAACACGTTTTGGCCATCACAGCCGGGCCATGGGTGTGAGAGCCTACCCTGCATACCCGCCGTACTATGTATGTCTCTTGTGTGCTGAAATTGTGTGTGTATGGACATGAGGATAGGTCAATGATGGACTTGTTGAGTGCAGCCCAGCACAAGCAGAAACACATCAAGACCCGACCTTGCAGGAGATTGCCTGTCTCTTCTGCCATTGAGAGAGAGGAAGAGCCTTGCTTTGCACTTGCTTGCTGCCCTCTGTCGCCGTCGGTGGATTCTTTTCTCAATGCTTGGCAGACAGGATAGGACATGCAGGTCAATCTGGCTTATACCACCCAACAGTAGCTAATAAGATGGATTTGCCGCAAGATGCCGTGTAGGGAGCCCTTGTTTCCCGTGGCCAGACTTGTCAGAAGCGTGGATGGATGATGGATGATGGAGTAAGTAGTACGGGGAAAACCCAAGCCAAGACGCGCGGAAGGACGAGAGTCCAGTAAGAATTGGTGGAAGCCGTTCCAGCCGATCCTTCTCCTACTCCGACATCTTCCAGGGAGAGAAATGAAGGGATCTGGATACGTTGATCCGAAGGATACGCAACATGGTTGGAGTTGCTTAGACCTTGGACTAAGATACACGGAGTCGTAGTCGTAGTTGTGGATGGATCGTTGGGCGCACTACGCCACGCCACGCCACGCCATGCCGCGGCATGCTCAACGTCAACTGATGATTGACGGGCCGGGGATGAGACCAAAGAAGACAACCTGAAGGTTGAGAGAGAGCGAGAGACAGGAAAAGACGGCAATTGGGTTTCGTCAACGCTGGCGGTCTATGCCTTAGCACGTAGTAGACACCTATTTGCGGCTTACGGCAATTCGACGCCCAAGCTCTGGTATGCCTCACGGTGAGGTGGGTTGTAACGTCAACGTCGTCAGAGTTGGGACCAGACCGATCTTGACAGCATGAGCAAGGCCAGACAAGACAAGAAAAGAACAGCAGGTGTAACGGCAGTTCGTCCGCCTCTAGTCCTGTAACGTGTTGGGAAGAAAAGTCATCTCATCAAGACATCAGCCCGTTCTGCCCGTCAAACCACAAGCCACGACTTTAGCGCACTCGCTTTCAAGAAAAACTCACACACCTACCACCCAACATGTCAGACGAGAGAGTGGGTGTGCCTGTGGCGTGTGGTTGTGTGTATGAAGACTGGACTGTGAAGCGACGGTCACATTTCGCCTATGCGTATCCGTACTTGCAGCCTGATGTTCGCAACCAGTCTCGATTGATCGTTGAGGAGAGTTTGGAGAGGAATGAATGGTGAACCCCGGCGGCACGGCGCAACTCTGCAACGAGACCAAGACAAACCAGCATCCTCGAGGCCCCACGCCCCCCGGTTGATGGAGGAGGGAAGAGCCCTAAGTTACTGGCTGAGAATCAGGAAAGCAGAAAAAAGTTGAGACTGACGAGGAGAAGCACGGGGAGAGTACGGAGCAGTCTGTATGTACGGAGAAATGTAGCGCGTGTCAAAAGCGAGTTGACCTTGTTCAAGTTGTCGGACGACGTCGAAGCCGAAATAAGGTTGAGGCCCTGGGCACGGTCCATTCGAGGACCCAGGTACCTTTGTACCCATGTATTCCCGTACCCTCAGTCTTTAGATCTCCGCTTCATTCGACTCAGAGGGGCCTTGATTGGTTAAAGTACCCGACTGGTCGCCAAAAGAGGCTGGCGCTCGGATGTGCTTCACCTTTCTCCTTCAGCCCTCTGACACTTTCGCGACGTACCCTGTTTCATCCACTCCGTTCCTCGACGTTTCCCCCAGGAACTACCCATCTCATTCTTGCCATTCTCGCCATTTCTTCACTTCTCCTCCGCGTTCGCTTCCATCTTCATGGATCTTACTTACACAGACAGACAGACACCATCATGGATCATTCTCCATCATGGATCATAATGGACAATGGTTAATGGATGACATGGCCTCACTAACCCTTCCCGTCCGTCCTCCGTCCTCCGTCCTCGTCCCGGACCACATTGCGTCCCAGCCTCTCTCTCTTGAGTCTTAGCACCGCTCACCTATGCGCCATTCTACCCGTTGCCGTGACGTCGTCCTTTCTGCCCTGGCTAAATGAATTGCCCAACCGTCTCACTGTCTCTCCCTGTCTCTAGTATCCGCCAGTCTGGAGCTCTAAAAAAAAAAAAAAAAAAAAAAAAAGTCCGATTCCCAAATGAAGCGCCCACCAAAAGCAAACAAACGATCCATGCCCCCGGCTCGCCTTGGCCATGTCAAGTCTGCTCAAGACTCCAGCTAGTAGACTAGTCAACCCATCCCGGTGCACCGCCGTTGCTTGTCACTCCTCGACCACTTCTCAAGTGCTCATCCAACTCATCCCATTGTCATATCAGGTCTGTGAGTCTTAACCCAAACGATCAAGGCACACACACACGCAACCCTCGACTCGCCTAGCAGCAAGAGTCGTACTATGATCTATCCTCGTCCTGCCACACTTACGGCCATGCCTCGGTCGTCACAGAAGATCTGCCCCAAAATGCAGAATGGAGACATTGGCGTCTGATGTTCTCGTCTGCCTGTCATCTTCCTCGTTCCATTTCCTCCCATCTTTTCTCCTCGTGCCCGCGGCCAACGAGTTACGAAGAGTGTCTTTAACCCGTGGAGAAAAAGAAGAAAGGAGGGCATCCCCTGTCTCGCACTGTCACTCAAAGTCTCGAACCACGGCGATGCTGCTCTGAGTAGTAGCACCAGCCGCGGCAAATATTGTTATTACTGGCCAAGGTATCCGTACGCAAGATTCGCTTTCCCGAGATCTGACATCCCGGCCTCCACATCACACACTCACACACACCACCGCCTTTCCTTGGTTCCCAAATATGGCACGTCTTCATGCCCTTTCCTGCCTCTGCCACGCCCACAGCGGCTTCTCCGACCTTCGAGTCTTACTTGACTCTCTCGTGACTCTCAAGCCGACGCCTGACCTGCATCTCATACCTCACCTTACGCAATCGCAACCCGCGGTTCGCGGTTCGCTGTGACTAGGAAGAACACGGTGTCCCTGAGATATTCACCTGCATTATCTTGTTCTTCATCGCTCTTCCCCCGACTCCACGTGCCCTCCTCCATCCGCTAATTCGCCTATCCGCGTAGATCACTCATTCACCGCCCGCCATGATGTGCCATCCAGACCCAAAGCTAATCACACAGATTCCAGGGGAAACCTCACGGAAACTATGGCCCCTTTCCCGGAGCCTGGAGGAGGCCATCACTCCCCAAGACCATATAGCCACCCTTTTGATGTACCTCCCAAGGGACCCTCTTTCGCCCGCCGTCTAGCCGAACAGCACGTTTCGTCGTCTAGACGACTGTCACGAATCTCTCCCCTGACAAGTTGACGTAGCCAGTCGGGGCAACTACTCCCCCGTCTCAGAAGAAACGAAACGCTTCGTGGCCCTGGTATCGATCAACGGTGGAATCGAAATCAATCAGCCCCCAATTCAATGACACTCTACTCCGTACGGCTCTCCCCTCTTCATCCATCTCACTCTTACATTTCACTCCTACAAGTTCAAAGAACGTCTAATAATAGTCAACGGCTTTTGGAGGGAGAAAAAGTCAGAGTCGCCTCCGTTCGTTATTGTCGAGAGTTCAACCCATGGATGAAATGACAGGTTTATTCTCGCTCTATTCGGAAACCGTAACCAGTGTTTGGACTGATCTTTTCTCTCCCCTCCTCTCTCCTCTCCTCTCTTCTCCAGCGTCATCCCATCTTCTCTCATCTCCCAAAAAAAGAAAAAGTCTCCTTTCAATGCACCGCCGCCGTTCCTACCCAAGATCTCGGTCAGCGTGCCGTACCAGTACGAGAATGTCAACGGTCCTCGCCTCCTCGTCTCTCCCTCCTCCCTTTCCCTGTCAGAAATGCAAGGCAGGCCAGCCCGGGCAAACAAGCAGACTTTTTCACTACCCCAGGGCTAACCTGCGTCAATCACCCATCGCCAAGAATTTTCAACTACTCATGTTTCGCGAGATAGGTGAGGTTCGAAAAGAAGCACCGAGTCTTCATGGTTGATGGCAAAAAGAAGATTGGGCCAAACCTTTCTTCAACACGCACGATCCCCCCACCACCAAGTCTAACTCGCCTTCGCCGAACATGTGCTCGCATTCACAATGGACGGTATAGACTCTCCCCCTACATCCACAGGCTATATCCCAGTGGAAAAGAAGGTAGCAGAAGGACAGATCCGATCGCGAAGGCGGGGACTTTGCTTCCCCCCAAGATACTATTTGCTTTGGCTCTGCCAAGGACCGGAGAAAGTCGTCAATTTTTCTGAGACTCTTCACTTGAGTCTCCGACCACTTGGCAACTGATTTCATCACCCCAAGTTGGCATGGCTTGAGAGATGCCCATTTCAAAGTCAGCCTTGGCGAGTAGTACGATTAAACCGTATGGCTGGTGCTTTGGTGCCAACTAAACCAAGTCGTGGGATCGAATCCCGCTTCAAACGTCGAGGTGTGGTTTCAATAGCTTTGCCTTTTAGTGAAAGACGGAACAGACCCCGATGATGACTTTTCACGTCTTCATCTTAATCTCTGTCGCTTTAGGGTTGTGGCAACTCGAGTATGGCATTTACAATATGGGGGGCCAAGACAAGTTGTCCACGAGCCCTCAATATCCCCCAGGTACCAAATCCAGAACCGTCATGAAATTAACATGAAATGACAGTTCCTGGCCAAACCCCCTCATACAGATACAGCAGCATCGCTACCGGAGGTATATTTCTCTTTAAGAAGGGTTTTGCCTTTCTTGAGACTAACACAGGCACCACCTCTGACTACCTACGATGATTGAGTGACTAATAGACTACCAAGCCCAAGTACTCTCATACTGTCCTTCTCGAGGCTACATCAATCTTTCATTGAACGACAATGAAATAAGCCACAAGACACGTTCCATGCTCGTCTAACTTAAGATCCTTCGTGAAAGACGAATGATCATTGGATTCCCATCAAGTCGAAAAGAGCCAGAGCGGCCCGCCTTGTGGAACTGGTTTCAACCCCAGACCAATTGCCTCAAATCGTAAGAATGCGGCTTTCCAGCGATCACGCCGTTCTCTAGAAACACCTGTCTCTTGGACAGTTGTTTAGGAGGAGACTTCAACACAAGAGAGAATAGGGATTCCACAGTCGAACGAGGAAAGGCCTCAAGTCCACTGTGTCAGCGTAGCGTTTCGTCCCAAGGTCCCCTCCCCACCAGACGTGAAGAGCCTCATCCTCGAACAAGAGAAAAACGGTGCAATTTTAGCCGATGGTTAGTCAAACTGAACAGGCACGACGTGGTAAGAGAGGCCATGACTTTGTTCCATTTCTGTTTGTCTAGGTAGTATACCCCCCTTCCGCTCGCCCCTTGGCAGACCATCCCACTCCAGGGCCTTTGACATCTCTGGCGTCTAGTCTGCCGTTTCTTCTGAACCTCGCCCTAGTTACATTGTTGAGGCAACATAAATCTCGAATGGCAGTTGACTACCGTTCGTGCTGGTTTTACCGCTGTTATAGCTTTTCCCGGTTTTTCGGCATTTTTATCCGCTTTCCCTTGATCGACCGGCCTGCGGTAGTAACACACCGTGATTGCGCCGCGCACAAGCAGGCCGGTCCAGACACTGCGTGTTCTGTAGACCGTAATGCGTCAGACAAAGACCGGGTGCTCTGGTGTCAGAATGGCCGTGATTGCCAGTCTCCCTCTGCATCATAGTCAATATGCCTGATCATTGCAGCTTGGGCTGTGCTCCACATGATCGACCGGAGCAAAAGCGTGGCCTTCCCGACAGACTACATCGGTCTTTCACGGCTTTGCAGAAATCAGTGGGAAAGACCTGTTCGTAGCTTCTCCACGGACATGACCGCCGCAAGGCTCATGGAGATCACGACGTTGTGTTGTGCAGATCCGACAACAATGCTGCGGTATTTGGTCGACAATGACACCGATCTCCATGTTCCATGTCGATGCCAAGATGGATTCGGGTAGGGCTGTTTTGGCCTTCGCTTATGGTCTGTTCTCTGTTCGATGAGCGCCTTGAGATATCCGGAATTGCAGCATGCTTCGTCGAGAGAACAGAAAGGTAGCGTCGAGTTGATAGCTTCGTTGCCGCAAGTCATCTGCCAGGCACAGGCCCAAGGGCTGAGGCCAACAGTCCTTCATGCCCGACCGACCAACACTTCTCGTCCCTTGAAGGCTGTAGTGTAGTGTAAGAGAAGGGGTATCGTTAATCGTTTCGTCATTTTCTCCTATCTCGCAAGACTCCCACGCTAGAAGTCCATTAGCAGTTGGGGTGCAATCTTTTCCAAATCCTCAACCTATCATCAACCAGTCAGCCAACAAGTTCCCTCTACAAATGAAGGGGAACAGGAAATCCGAGAGCCACTAACCTCAAGAAAGCCGCCAGGCCTCTCATGCACACACCTCGCAATCGCCTCCCTCACAAAGATATCCATATACTTCCCCGCCGCCAAGTTAGCGTCCTTGCTGAGCCTCGTGTCGTCCTTTTCAAAGAACTCGTGCAGCAGCCGCGTCAGCAGTTCGGGCGGTATCGTATTGTCTGGACCTTCGTTCTCAGCCTCCTCTTCTTCTTCTGCTTCCTCCTCTGCATCGTCCGCTTCTTCGCGCCGGCCCCGCGATGCTGGTGCGTCGCTGTCGGAGAGCTCGAAAGGTCCCGACTTTTTCCGTGCCGGCTGTTGCGTTGCCTTGCGCTTCGCGCCCGCGGCTGGCTGCTGGGCTTCACCAGGGCGGCCGCGCTTCGCTGGATCGACTGCTTGTCTCGGCATTTTCGGTGCTTGTTCGTCTCGGCTGGTGTTGCTTCAGGCAGTAAATAATAGTAGCTAGACCGAGGTGGTGGTGTCAGATCAGTAGTGCTGCGCGTGTCGGATACAGCAAAAGAGATTCCACGTGTCGACGGCGTGATAGCCCACTTCTCCAGGTAAACACAGGGCGTGAGGTGTCAGAGGTGCATCCGCTGAACGGCGAGATTCGATCCGGCCTGGGAATCAGGCGATCAGGGCGGGGAGCACGTGGGGGGAGGATTTGTAGATGGAGCGGGACGTGACTGTCACTGTCACTGCGGAGTGCAGGCGCGTCTGGGCGGATTAGCGACAAGAGCTCCATTGGCCAATGAGAACGCGAACAACAACCACCCAGCACCATCATGCACATTAGGTTAAGTCCAGGGAGGGAGATATTTGCATTATGTCACAGAAGGCAATGGCAACACATTCGTAGAATCAAAGAAATCTTCCTATTGTACCGCGGAAGTCTATCGTCATGCAATACCAAGGAAAATCCACCCCAGGATCGACTAGAAGCCGGTAAAGTCCAGCGAGGACAGGTGTTGCGTGAACGAGTGCAATCGGGAATTGCTTTAGTGTACAAATTACAGTGGATTAGGTAGCAAGCAAAGCTCTTCAGGTCATGTAAGAGAACGCCTTGCCGATGCCAGTCTAAACCACGAAGGACTGGCCGATCCAGGCGGGCCACGTCTTGTGGTGCCTGCATCCAAAGCCCCTCCGCAACATCCATCTTCCCCATTTTGTCAACCGATTCCTCATCTGATCCTAACCAGTAACGAATCCCCACAGCCCGGGTATTCGCCAACTGCCCAACCCGCCACCAGTGAAGAGTTTATACACGAAGAAGTGTCAAAGGCATTTAGCCAGAGCCACCCTTGAAGGCCTTGCCGAAGAGCAGAACCTGGAGCTGGTCGTAGATGGACAGGACACCAGCACCGGCAACACCACGGAGAATGTTGGCACCGGCACCCTTGAAGAGAGACTTGACACCCTCCTTGGCGATGATCTGCTTACCAGCGTCGAAAGAAGACTTGTACTTGACGGCCTCACCAGAGGTCATCATCATGCGACGACGGATGGTGTCAAGGGGGTAAGAGGCGATACCGGCACCAGTGGTGACGAGCCATCCAAGGGCGAAAGAGGCAAGGAAGTTGTTGGCGAGGTTACCGGTAAGGACGACGGGCTTGATGGAGTCGTACATGCCGAAGTACAGACCACGGTAGACAACGATACCAGCAACGGAGGGCATGAAACCACGGTAGAGACCGGCAATACCGTCGGAGGCGAGGGTCTTGCGGTAGACGTCAACGAGACCGTTGAACTGGCGCTCACCACCCTTCTTGGCGGACTTGGCGTCGTTGGCAAGACGGGTACGGGCGTAGTCGAGGGAGTAGACGAAGAGCAGGGAAGTGGCACCGGCAGCACCACCGGAGGCCAGGTTACCAGCCATCCACCAGGCGTATCCGTCACGCTCCTTCTTGAAGCCGAACATCTGCTTGAACTTATCGCGGAAAGCGAAGTTCAGGGCCTGGGTGGGGAAGTAACGGATGACGTTGGCAGTGTTACCACGCCACAGGGACATGACACCCTCATCGGCGGCGGTACGGCGGAAGCAGTCGGCGATACCGTCGTACTTGCGGTCAAGACGACCCTGCTTAAGCATCTCATCCTATGAGGCTGTTAGATGCAGTCCGATTGACAGGGTACTAGCAGCTTAGATGGCCAAGGTCACGTGTCATATTGGATAACTTTTTCGACCGGGGTGACCCGGTCCGTCCTTGGCCGGCTAGCTGTCCAGATTGATTGCGCAGTCATGTTTACTAACCTGGTTCTGGATGAGAAGCTTGATACGCTCAATGGGAGCGGCGGCGGTCTTGGAGACAGCGGCGGAGACACCTCCCACTGTAGGAAGCAGTTAGTGATTGTTCTTTGTGGTTATCGCGGTACCGGGATCAGCCCGCCGAGGTCGGAAAGCTGATCGATGGCAAGTGCCGATATCGAAATGGGTTGTGCAACGTACTAAGGAAGTCGGCCACGAAGGGCTGTCAGATAGGAGTTAGTAAATTGATTCATCCTGACATTGATATTGATATCCGAAGGCAGGTCAAAGTAAGCCAGCTCCAGCGAAGTCGTTCCATCAGCGACGATAAGCTGTACAGCAAACCATTGTCGCGTCAAGTCCAGCCCATCAGATTGAGACTCGCAATGTCTCGATGGAATCCATAGCTGGGTGCTATGGCCATTGATGGTAGAATGATGATGGAAGGAAGCGACGTCGCCGGTGAGGTGCATTCTTTTCCCGCAGCCTCGGATAACAATGAAGGGGAGGATGAGTTGTAGCTTACCGGCATGCCCAGGACCTTCTGCTTTTCGACGGGAACAGACATCTTGGCTGTGGGTTTCTTCTCAAAAGATCAACCTCAGAGAAAAGAATGAGCGGAGATGGACGGAGGAATAGAAGGGGATGAGAAGACGGAAGAGCGAGTCGAGAGAATTTAAGTGCTCCGACGGCAGCAGGTTTGAGGGAGGGAAAAAAAAATTCCTGCAGGGTGGCCGAAGAAGGAACAGCTTTTGAGCGAATCTTTCCGGGCCGCGCTAAGAAAGGAGCACCGACCACCCCAGGCCGGGCTCAGGGTGCGTAAGAAGTGGACAAGAGTGGGTCACTCCTCCTCCTTCTCTTTGCTGGCCCTCCAGACTTGGTAGGGAAAGTGCACTGGGTGGCTCTGGTGCAGGTGTCCTCTTTCCCTTCCATGGGTGGGCACTGTGGCACTGACTGGGCAGGCGCGGGTGGGTTGCCCCCTTCCGCTGCTCCAACCCCCAACTTCACTGTGGGAAGGTGCAGCAGCAGCAGCAAAGGCGAAGTTTTTCTTTGGCCCGGCAACTCAGACCAAATCCTGTGGCCTCAGGCCGAAGCGCTAGTTTGCCATGGAATTGAGATACCGGTTCACCCCGAGATTTGCACGGGGACTCCGCGGCCAATGTGTCTGGCTACGCTTGTCGTCGGGAAGCTGGACGGCAGCATCGTCCGCCAGACTTCAGGTCGTTAGTGCTCACTGGCCAGGAACTCTGGGGAGAGTCTGTCACTGAAGCTTAAAGCTCTAGACTCGAGATCCCATTTCGATATTCCCAATATTGTCTACGGTGTTGCAAACAATAGGGGCATGCATACGAGTGTCTAGCACCACATCGGCAGAGTCGATGGCATCAAGGTGCCCGACTTGGGCTAGTCAAAGGGTGCGGAAGAGCATACGGGGTGGACGGCCTGGCCCTTGTTCTAATGAGATTTCATTCCAAGCCTCGTTGTTCATCTGGAGGCCACTCGAGCTATCCCACCTCTCTTGTTCCAGAAACATCGTCATTAGCATCTGCGATATGGCCATGGTATGGTAAAGCATCACTGCAAAGTGGTACCCTCGCTGCTTCTGCTGCCAGCCGGGCAACCTGAGGCCTAGAAGCCATCTCCAGCCTGCCATGGCAACCAGACATTACCGACGGATATCTCATCCGGCCCCGTGGCATCAAAATCCCCCTTCATCCCGAACAATACCTCCATGTCCCGGCGCCAAGCCGCCCAGCTTGGTTACCTGGGCCGGGCACCTCTACAGGCTACTGTTTACATACAGCATAAGCTCGGGGGATCTCTTTGCCTGTGTGCTTGTCAGCTCCTTTGAGCCGCCGCCGCTAGTTCTCATTCGCAATTCGCAATCCGCCAATCGACCTGCATCCGCCGTCCTAGACAGCCGAGCTTAAAAAAAGAAAGAGACGCAATTCACAGGCCCCAGAATCCAGGGGCATGCCTGGCCCGGCCGAGTCAAGGCCCTTCGCTTGCTTCGGGCCAATTCAGCGAGTCTGGCTGGTCTCCCAGTGCGCATCCTCTTTTCAAACTTTTTCTTGCGCGTACCCTCTCCGCAGACCAGGTAAAGAGAGTGACATACTCGTGTACAGTAGTATCCGTACTGAGCAATCGAGGACCGCAAATGGGACACTCACATGCCCAAGGCTGGGCAAGCGGCTCTCGGGTCAGGGCTATGAGAAGAGCTTTGTTTACATTTGATTCGATTCGTACAGGCTCGACAGAAGCGCCGTTTGGAAATGACGGGGCAGATCTATGGATACGGCCCACGACAGCCAATATAAATTTTCGCCATCCTTGATAAGGGAGAGGGATGCGTTTTCGCCTCTTTGACCCTTGGATGCACTTGATAGTTGATAAATTGATACAGCTTTCCTTTTATTCGCATGCCCTACGTGTCGACATCGCACCTGAAGCAATTGACTTTTGTCAGTTCAGCTGGAGTGCTGACCCGGCTGGCCGAGCATCAACTCTGGCGAGACACATGCAACAAGGCCCGGATGGTGGCTGAGAGGTGATGTTGTCATCTTGAAGAAAGTACCCAACTTCAAGTATCCTCAGAACAGACGTCACACTGTCCTTACTCGTACCGGCAGCATCTAAAACTGAGGGCGGCGAGGCCGGTCTGGGAACCTGTCAGCTCTGTTACACTGAAGCGTTTGCGAGCGATCCGAATGGTGCCAGGCCTTCTTTCACTTGAACCATCAAGCACGCATAGCTGAGAATCTTTCCCAGATGGAGCCGGCGGTACCAAATGTCTTCGACGAGGAGAACTCTCGGGCTAGGATGCGATTCCGCAAGCTTCGGGGCCCCAAGAGCGGGAGGCCGGGAGACCGGGAAGAGGGATTGATGGAGACGATTGGACGGAATGCTCCCATGTGGATTGCTCCTCTGCCAGCTCAGCTTTCTCCTATTTGGACATGGGGAACCGTGAAGGAGAAAAAATATTAACGAGACCGATCGGTCTGACTAAGGAAACGAGGAAACAGGGGATAGGTACATTGGCATCTGCAGCCTGCCCGCCTCACCACCGACGACATGACGATGTGCTTGCCAGTTGCCAATTGCCACGCACATGCCATGCTTCGAGCCTGCAGTTTCCTGAACCGGGCTCCGTTTTCTGGCTAACACGACCTGAGGCTAACAGAAGCGCCGGCGGGCCGCGAGCAGCCCCGGTCTTCTCTCCCCGTGCACCTTCTTGTGCCTTTCACTGATGCCTTGGCGCCTCATTCTTATCTGCATCGGACTTGCTGCACGGTGCCATTGGCTGCTTACTTAAGCTGTACCCAGCCATGGTCCTCGGATGTACACTAAACACCACGTGATACGATCCAAAACTTCAGCCTCGTCTGCCTCCAAGCTGATACGCTGCCTGCACTGCGGCACTGCGGCACTGCGTCCTTGGTTCGTTCCGCCCGCTGCGTGCTCCAGATTCCGTTCTCAATTCCCCATCCTCTCTCCAAACCTTGCTAATCGACCAACAAAAAATTTCATCGACCGCCCAGCGGCCCGCCAACAAGCAATACTAGCAATAATCCCACCTCCAAACATCTTGCATCACGTGACCGAAATCGGCGAGCAGACGAAAAAAACACCATCCATACGACACGACTTTTGCGCGCGACGACGAGTGGCTCCCCGATAGCCACCCCTTCCTACCCCTGAACGCGTGCAAGTAGATGCCTCGGCCCACCAAGAGCTCCTCATAGAGGCTGTCAGTACGTCCCGCGACGCGCGACTCTCAGCCTTGTGACGTCTTGATAAGATGACACTTGTCTAACGTCTGAGATGCAGACCCCGGCGCCCATCCACCTTCTCCCGAGACGCGACGGCTCCCTCGATCACTGGCGAGGTGGGCTTTGGGGCATGAATAATCCGGCCGCCTACACTCCTCTCGAGTCCTTGTTTCTGTTCCAAGCTGTCCTTAAGCACGGCGTCGAAGCCACTGCCTTTGTCAAGGTCTCCGATCTTCTCGTCAACAACTCGTTGATCAAAGATGACAAGACATATGACGCTAAACGACTGAGCCCGGATGCGCTTCGACAACTCTTCCTGCACCTGCTGCAGGAAGAGCTGAGAATCGAGAATGCGACGACCGATAAGCCCGATGGCGCGTCGCCAACTTTGAAGAAACGCAAGCTCAGTCATCCGCCGCTACCCACGCTTAAGGAGGTCAAGGAGCAGTCACATAGGTTCCCCGGGTTGGTGGATCGACTCTATGCAAGATATAAGGAAAATGTCGTCAGGGACATCAGGGAAGATGAACGGCGCATCGAGACGCTTGCCAGAGATATCAAGATCCTTGAAACGCAAGAGGCTATCGATCGAGCCAAAGCGAACACACCCCGTCCAGTCGCACCAAACGGGTCCTCAGCGCCCAAGCCTATTCCGACACCTGTCCCGGTTCCCTCTTTGATTCCGACGCCCGGCCAGGTCGCCGCTCAAAACCAAGCCAAGCGATCGACCCCGACGCCTCCCGTTGAGACTCCGCGACCGATTAGGCCTGCGAACGGACAAGGCTCCGTTCCGACGCAGACTCCAGTACCGATACCGAGACATGTACCACTGCAGCCTCAAGCAAACCCACGGCCACCAACGACCGTTGCGCCAGCTCCACCACCGGCCCTACAGCCTGCGCCAGCAAGACGAGATGTGGCTCCGCCAGCAGGCGCATTCCAGCCATCACCTACAGTGCCTACAGCGCAAGCTGCATCTGCTGCTGGGGCATCTGTTGCAGCACCTGCTAGCGGGCCAGATGCCAAGCAGCATCAGAATTTGAAGCCTCCCAATAGTGCCGGCCAGGTCTTGCAGCCCCCCGCTGGTGCTGGGCATCCGCCAGTTCGGCCCGGTCAGTCGACATCGCCGGTCCCTCTGCCGGCAATATCACCACGGCCGGAAAACATACCCAAAACTCGGGTTCCAACACCAGGAACGCCCGCTCAACCCTCAACTCCAGGGACTCTGAAGTGGGAAAAGCCATATCAGCCTGCGGCACCGGCACTTCAGCCACAGGGTCGCCCTGTGCCAGTTCAAACTCCAACACCTCCTGCACCTTCTACCCCAAATCAGGCACATCATCCTGCTCAATGGTATCCTCAGCCAACAGGACAATATCAAGGTCCTCCGCAGCCTCCTCATGTTCCAATGCAAGCAAACCAGGCACAGAGATATGCGCAGCAATCGCAGCCGGTGCTAGTAGCACCTCAACCCCAGGCTCAGCCTCAAGGACAGGCCCAATCTCATCTTCATCCTCAGGCTCAGGCTCAGGCTCAGGCTCAGGCTCACACGCAAGCTCAGGCTCAGGCTCAAGCCCAGGCTCACGTTCATATGCAACCCCAGACTCAGACACCAGTCAAAAGCCAGAATCAGCCTCAGCCTCAAAAGCATCATCAACTCCCGACACCTCAGCCTCAGCCTCAGCCTCAGCCAAAGGGACAGCTGGTGGCTCCAGCTCACTCAACGCCGACCAAGGAGCCTTCAGAGAGCTCTGGGAACCTACCGCGCAGAGGCCGCCCACCAGGCCCGTCGGTTACGCCTTCTGCGCGGCCACACACTGTCCAGCAGCCACGACCTATTGCTGCAGCATCGCCTACCCCATCTGCTAGTCCTTCAGGGCAGACAGCCGTTCCTCCGAGATGGCAGCAACCTCACCCTTCCCCCTATGCACAGCAGCAATTCAGCCCTACACCAGCTCCGGCCCCAGCCCCGGCACCATCCCAGGCGAATGCTAAGCCAAATGATGCTCAAAGGCGGGTCAGCCCTCCCTTCAACAAGCAACAGCCCCGACCTGCCATTCCTCCTCACCTGGTTTCGCAAGTTGCTGCTGCTGCTGCACCTCCGGCACAACGAGCCGCGAATACCCCTATCCAACCGCCACAGACGCCTGTCACAGCGCCTCCCAGCTTCCTTCTTACTGGCTCCGGAACTAAGTGGACTGTGACTTCTACGCCTTCAACCCCTCGGCCGGGTGCATCAGACAAGGAGGCTGCTAGTCCCGCCTTTGAACCACTGAGCCCTGTGCAGCAAGTTGCGCCGTTGCCGCCTGCGCCTACACCTACACAAGCACCGCGGAAGCCCAGTCCCAAGCCGACACCCGTACCCATTCCAGTGCCGAAGTCAGAGACGAAAACTCCCGGCCCTAGAGGCCGAGGCCGACCGCCACGCAGTGCGCACAAGGTCCGTGCCGACAGCACACCTTCGGTTGCGGGTACGCGACGAAGTCAGTCGGTCACGTCGCAAACTGACGAGTTGTCGATGGATCATCATGAGCTGGCGCCCAGAATTAAGGACGAGAACGCCACTCCTAGAGTCACTCCTAGAGCAACGCCGAAACCGCAAGATGACACGGGCGACACAACTGCTGACGAAAGCGTGCCGAGTCGGCGCAATATGATTACACCTAGTAGCGTGTCATCCCGTCTTGCTCATAAGCGCAAACGTCAGGACACTCCAACCGAGCCACTCGCACCGCCGACAGCCCCGACTCACGTACTATGGACACGCCAATTTGGTCGGGTAAGTGCTGCTGCGCTTGATCAGATTGGTGCTCACAGGTTTGCGAACCAATTCGCGAACCCCATTCGAGAGCGAGACGCCCCTGGTTACAAGACTCTGATCATTCAGCCACAAGACATCAAGTCTATTCGTGCAGCCATAACACATGGCAACAGAGCAGCTACTGAGGCCGCCAAGGCCTTGCCAGATGGTGACCCAGGCACAGGCTCTGTTCTTTTGCCAATCAGTGACGATCTGGTGCCACCAAAGAGCATCATCAACAGCGCCCAACTCGAACGAGAGCTTGTGCATATGTTCTCGAACGCCATCATGTACAATCTGAACCCGAGTCGCGGGCCCGGTTCAGCTTTCATGAAGGGCGGCAGTGCTGCTGATGGGGCTGATGTAGTGGGATACGAGGTTGACGAAGATGCCGTGGTGCGTTCTACAAGGATGATGTCTATGGAGGTCGAGAAGATTATAGGAGAGCTCCGTAACGCGGAGAAGGAGCGCACAGGTCAAGCACCCTCGACCTCTGGCAACACGAGGCCGGCTAGCGTCGCTACTGGTGAAGATACACCAATGGCGGAAGACGACGTTGATGAATTGGCGGGTGACGCAGATATAACCTCGTCAACAAGGAGACGGCGCGTGGGCACGAGGAACTAGAAGCTGCCGCGCATCGCACGCAAGCTTCGTTGATTGGTGTGTTATTTCTTTTGCAAGCTGTATGTCGGGGGCCTAGAAACGGCCTCTTTGTAGAGAAGAAGTGTGTAGGATACTCTGAGTAGTCCTTAGCGTCTACTTTCGTATGATAATGTTACCAAGCAGCCCAAGTGTGGCTAAGCCAGTTAACCCAGGGTTCCTCGTCGTTGAGCAATTTTATGATGTGACTCGCTAGGAATAGAGATACGTAGGCATAGAAGGTGACATGTGCTCAAGCTCCGTTGTCGAACAAGAGGTGTCTGAATTCCATGTATTCAAACGGGCCGGTCTCGTCTTCCGCCTCGTAGCCCCTTTGCATCATGACCTTACCAAAGAATGTACGACAGGTATGTTCGAGATGGGAAGAACAGCACCGGGAAGTCTGTAGGATCGAGCGATTGGCTAACCATACGAAGTGTTATATACCGAGGGTTCCAAAAATAAAAAGACCAAAACTACAAAAGAGTTCACCCCCCCGGTGGCGAATGGGGGCTACATCTCTGGGTGCACATGCTGGGACTCGAACACGGGACCTCTTGAAGCCTTCACCGATTAGGCTGTTCGTGGACTTCAACCACTCCCCCACCCAGTCAGTTTTGACCTGACCCCCCAAGGGAGGCGCCTGCTGGCTGGTGGCGGGAATAGACCTGGAGGGCTATATGAGGGCTTCTTTGGTTGTGGTGTATTCGGGTGTGTGTCTTCAGGAGTGTATTCGGGTGGTGGTGGAAGGAGCCGAATCAGGGGCAGTTCCTTCCTCCCTAACTACTCAAGCCCTTTTGCCAGTATCTTTCGGTCGAGGATGGTATAGGTGTTGAGGTGTGTCTATTTGGCTCTTAGCGTATGATATGAAAGGAACCAGACGTCCCGAGTAAAGTTTTGTATGATCGGGTTTATCCAGTAGTTCTCTTTTTCCTTCTTATCTTCAAACATGCAGGTTTTGTCTTTTTCGAAACTACAAGTCTAAGTAATAGAAATCAAGCTCACTACAATATAATGAGGATTTGATAACTAAAATAAAGGAACTATTTATAGGTTATATAATAGGTCCACGTTTTGTAAGTATCATATGTAGAAGATATCTATTGGAACTAACGTACGAAACCTTGAAGTGGGAACCGTTGAATCGTTGGCCCGAAAAGCAAGTCAGTAAGAAGTCAACAGAGGAAGTTCTTAGGACGGATGATTGTAAATTTGGATAGAATGTCCCTGAATGACCTTGTCTACAAAAATTGAACGAAGTAAACACACCTATCGCCTTTCAGGAATCTAAGGCCATTCTCTCAGAAAGACAGCGTAAAGATAAAACATAGTATTTTTCCTCAAGATGTGGAGATATTTTGGGTAATGACTGACCCCTTGAAGGATTACAATACACGCGTTGTAAATCCAACCCGAGATTACCCTTGAAATCTCTTACCAAGTTCTCGACTACTCAGATACTCAGAGTAGAATATGAGAGGGAAATCACTCAAAATAAGACATCAGGTCAAGTCCCAAAAGAAACCTTCAGCTTCCCAAGCCAACATCCCAAAAGCCCAACTACCATGGGACGGACGTCCCATTGCACAAAAAGAACCCCCCACTATCAGCACTCTTGAGCCCAGCCAACAGAGACAATATACCCCCCGCACTATCCTCCACCTCGACCGTCGCCCCAGGCCCGCCAGAAGCAGTCTTGACATGACCCGGATCGACAGCCACCGCCACGATCCCTCGGCCCCTCAACTCTCGAGCCTGATGCACCGTCAGCATGTTCAGCGCCGCCTTGCTGATGGAATAGCCCGCCAGCATCCCCACGCGGCCGTCGCTGGTCCAGCCCAGGCTGCCCGCGCCGGAGGTGATGTTGGCGACCACTGCGGCGATCCTCCCTCCGCCCTCGTAAGCAGCATCTACGCCGTCCTTTTCGCCCTCGTCCCTGGCTGTCAAAAAGGGTAGCAGGACCTGCACCAACCTCGCCGGGCCGAGGACGTTGGTCTCCATGTGCACGTCCAGCCCCGTCTTATCAAGCGTCAGGCTCGTCTGGTGCGCAAATTGCAGCGTCGCGGCATTGTTGATGAGGAAGTCTACTTTAGCCGGCGTCCTGCGGCCCTTGTTGAGAGCTGCTGACAGTCGGCCGGGGAGCGTGGTGATGGATGCCTCGGAGGAGACGTCGCATTCGAGGATGTGCGTCGTGGCGGTGTTGGAGGACCGGATGGCTTCGAGGGCCGAGAGGTCTGTGGAAGGGGCAGTGGAGCGGACCAGGGCGATGACGGTGTTCGATGGGGATCTGCTTAGTTGGTTAATGTATTCCAGGCCGATGCCAGCTCGGGCGCCGGTGACTACGTATGTTGGCATGGCTTTCCACTTGCGGCGGAAGTTAGGAGAGGGAAAGGTTTGGTTTGCTGCGTGGATGATTACTCTTTGCCTAGTCTGAAGGATGCGTATTGTACACGATTTTCGTGGCTTGGGTCAACTCACGACTTCAGCATTCCGAAACACTACCATCGTATGAAGACCCATTAGCCTATATAAAAAGCAAACATTATGAGGAGATAGTTGAAGTCATTTGACGAGACTCAAGACGGATTGGTAATACAAAATGCTCAGTAAGCTCTGGTGAGATCAAGTCTGAATTGCCTAAATTCAACCTGCATAAAGGATCAGTCGTCAGCGACCATATGATCCAAGCTTACAAAAGATGTCAACGTTGGCTGAGTAAAAGGGACTTGGGAGCGTATGTGCTTGGGAAATGGTCATCTACTACTTTCGAAAGGAGGTAGTGACTAGGACATCCGATGGGGCTCCGGCGATGAGCCCGATAATTGTGGAGACCCGACCGGAGATGTGTGCCGGATGTCACTGTCGAGGCCGGAGTGGACTATAATTCTACCCGTACCAAGGGCCTCATGCATGCATGGTCAATGGCAATGAAAGGGAACGGTATGGCCCGGCGTCGTGCGAATCTCCGCGCGCATCGACAGATCATACATAATACGGAGGCGAAAACGAGAAGTCACAGAGTCATTTGGATTGCTGCGCCAGCGCCAAGACCAAATCAGGGGCAAACCGGGGTGGCGATTGGCAAGTCTGAGTCGATACGGATACGTTTGTGTAGTACGAAGACATCACAGCTGGAGCCGCAGAGAAAGAAAGCAAGCGAGCAAGCAAGCGAGGGCCGTGAGGAAGAATCTTTGTTCTGCGGCAGTCTTGGTACTCGAGGCAGTGTTTCTTGCCGTCGGTATTTTCTTCGAGGGCTGGAAGCAAAGCGGCGGCGGGCCTGGTTTCGCGTCGCTTGGCGCGCCGATTGGGCGTATTTTGTACACCTATCACGGTCGATCACCTTGCATGCCTTTGGCGGCCGATCAGTGTTTTGCTATGAGAGAAAAAAAAGGATGCTGCCAGCTGTGCCAGCAAAGTGGCGGTCGGTCCATTGGGCTTGGCTGTCAAAGTTAGGCTAACCTTAGTTCACCTCGTTTCTATGTAAGTAGGTTGGGACCAGACCGCCACGAAAAAAAAACCCTAATGATCCAGCCACAACGAACCCAGACAGCCGAATAACCTTGGTTTGAGAGCGTGAAACTGTCTGTTAGGAGGAACTACCGTATGGATGGGATGGAAACCCAAGTCAAGAAGCTGCGATGAATTACACTGCAAGCTTGGAAAACGGAGAGAAATAACTGGCTGGAACATGCCGTAGCGGGAAGATCGGCGCAGGTTTCCGAATGGAAGCTTCAGTGCCGCCTTCAGGTTCTTCTAATCTGACGTCAGAGGGAAAGGAGTGCAACCCCTGGCATGGAAAAGGTGCTTTCGGAGCTTTCCTCGTGGAGGAACTGCACTAAGAGAGAGGTTGCTCGATAATAAGGTTTTCTTCTTCGTTTCCCGGGTGTGGGTGTGACTGACTGGGGGCCGACTATCAAAACAAAACCAAATTAGGCCGTTCTCTTGGCATTTTCTGCTGCAACACCTGCGCCTCACTCTCTACTTGATCGTTCCAGCTGTTGTTGCACGTGTAAGTTGGTCTTGGTTGTGTTGTTCAGTGTGGGTGTGCCAGCTCTCAGAGGTATTCGCTGGAATTCCCGTTCCATCAGACCATCGTGACACCCCACCAGAGCATCGAGGCACATGGCTGGTTTGCTTGGGGCTTCCCTTGTTTTCCCTTCTCTGTAGCAGGAGAAAGTGAGCAAGTGTGTGTTCTTATGTGATTTGAGATGATGTCAGTTTAAAGTCTTGGCAGTCTCCCACATCCCCCATCCCCCGCCCCTTGCTATGTATGTGTGTGTTTCTTGAGTCTGCCTGTGGTCACTGAAGGAACTGTGGGAGACAAATCGGAAGAGGTGGAAAACGACAGAGGGTGAGACGACCAAGGGAGGCAGTGCAGTTCTCGGTCCTCACAAAGTCTTTCTCCTCTCAAATCCTCCAACAGCCAAGTCTTTTGCTGCTCATCCGAGCCCAGAATCAGTCCAAGGATGGGCGCATCCCAAGACGGTAGTTACCTGTTCGTACCTGTGACAGCGCATTCGCAGTACGGTGTACCTGACGGGGGGCCCTCTGCCTGCCGGCGTTTCTGTTCCGGGCTGTTCTGTAGTCTGTAATCGTTGGGTTGTCACTGGCTCCGGGTATGCAGAAGGCCTGGACTCTTCCGGGTGTGGGTGCCATAATGAGAATCCCTCGACGCGGGATGGCTCCCATGGTTGCTCCAATGATGATGAGATGCATCCATTATCCATAATTCCTCATGGTTGAGAGTTGAGTTTGGGACACCGCTGCATGGCAAAGGCCAAAATTGCTTGTTCGTACCCGATCTGACCTTGTGGGCACGGCCACACAAAACGTGGAGAAGCTATGATGAAAGTTGGGATGGAAGATGTCGCCCCAAAGATCGTTCTTTTTGCCTCAAAGGCTCAAACGGTTGACAGAACCTAAGCGCATCTTTTCTGTCGCTTCGCTGTGTTGCTCGGGAGTGCTGCTGAATCAAGATGGCCGCTGTTAGGTTCCTGCCAAGAGGGCCGGACTGTGGCTCATCTCTCCTTTGCGGTTGGCGGCCTCCTTGTTTCTTTCCTCGGTTGTTATAGAGAAACTTGAGAACGGAGGAAGACAAATGTCTCGGCGGCATCCAATCTTTGCTGGATTCATTCGGGTCTTCAGGCGACAAATGGATCAGTCCACTGTTTCTGGGGGCTCAGAGTGGCCAAAGCTCTTCATCCGGTGAAGCGAACACCGGGCCCGTGGTAACTGGAGCGGTAACTGGTCCGATGCATTGTTCTTCACCTCGGTCAACGGACATGTGTTGGGCCCCGAGTTTTGTCATAAGTGAGTGAACAAGAAGATGAGAGTGTGAGTGAGAGTAAGAGCGAGGACTGAGAGGGAAGTGAGTGAGTGAGATGAAGGTCAAATAAGGTATCCGCACACGTGCTACTGATACTGCTATTTTACCCAAGTGAGGTAAGGTTATAGCCCATAATCGATAGTCAAGAGGAGGGCGACCAAAGAGGGAGAGCGAGGTCCTCGTATCTAACCTGATTGAATGCTTTTATTTTGATAGATTGAATGTAATTCCACCACCCACCGCAATTCAAAGACATGGCTTGGCGCACCCCCTGTACCACTTGAACAGCACTTTCAATATCCAATGAGCTGCTCCCCGTCTTGGCGATGAAATAACCCGTCACCCCGAGTACTTTGCAGATTACCCTTATGATGTGGTCTATTCTCCATGAGCGAATAGTGAGCGAACAGTGAGTGAGCAGTGGCAGCAAAGAGCGCGAATTAACGTAGATGACCACTCGCCTGCACGTTTACGTACTGGGCGTGAGCGACGTCTTGGCATCTTGGGATTTCCTTGGCCTTTGGTCGAATCACCGACAATGGTGGCTGTGTAAGTCTCCTGTCCTGATGAATGCTCTATAGCCCAAAGTACCTCACCCGTTGGCTAGGCGGCCTAGAACTTGCCAAGCCCAGCTGGTGAGGCACCTACGATGTCCAGACTCCAGCGGCGTGTTGTTTCTTCTCCTTCCCCCATGCTTCTCGTCCCGAGCTTGCAACCCTGTTCCATCATCAATTCCATTGTAACTTGCTTGACGTGGGTGAAGCTGGCGGCTGTTGCGGGCGCTTGACCCGTTGTTGATTGCTGCCCGTTGTCAGTCCACAACCGACAGACCATCGTCCATCACCACTATCACGCAGACGCTTCCTCTCATTCTCACACCCACGTCACTACCTAATTCTCTTTCTTTTCCTCACCCTCGGCATCGTGACTTCATGTACCGATGACCGTTGTCTTTTCTGCCCAAATCTGCCCTGCCACAGCCCACACCTCTATCAGTCCCCCATCTCCTCTTTTCATCCAACTTTGATCTTCCATCATCCGGATAGACTCGCCGGAAGACACGTAACGAATCGATACCTCAACGGTCCAAAAGAGAAAAGTCAACGCTTCACACAGCCCTGTTCTATGGCACCTTGGATGTCATGACCCCATCAAACCTAGCGTGACGCCTTCTCCAGATCACCCTCGCCTGAGGTTCTACGTCTGGACATATCAACTAGCATCCAGGTCCCATCTCGCAACCCGCATTGCTGGCACCAATAATTCTCACCGGGAGGTAAACGACGAACCGCCACCAACAACCAGCAGCGAACAAGCTTCAGCTCAACAAGCTCCCTCACCTCGATCCATTGTTTTCTCTCTCCCTGCCTCCCTTTTGACACTAATCTACACCGCCTCCCAATCCGAACCGAATCGTCAACTTCTACTCAGCCCGCAGAGGTGCTACACTCGATTGCCACTCGCTGAATAACTGGCTCCCTCTTCTTTGGGTCCATTTACATACTCCGTGTGTAACATCACCATCCTTCTTTGTTTGCACCACCACAACCCGCGCACCCAAAGTTGTTCTGCAGCTACCCATTCACCAACGCCCATCGCAGAAAAGCAGCTGCCAATCACTGCTCCTTCCTTCCCCAAAACGAGGCGGACAGACCGTCACTGTCCTGGAATTTTTCCACATTGTCCTCCAAGCTCCTACCGCTCCCCAGGAACGCTCCTTGGGACCGACGAGGCAGAAACGCCAACCAAACCCCAAAGATTTACACCAAGGCATCACCATGCCACGGAATCCTTCTCCGTTAAGGCGGCCACGGGCGCCTACTATCACGCTGGATACTTCAGCCGTGAACGACCAAGGTATGACGCCATATTGCATTTCTCCTCCCTGGACCGGTCATGAAATAATCCTTCTCCCACCGTGTCCAGCCGGGCCAAACTAACCAGGGTTGCGTTCGAATTACAGAAGACGACCAACGCCAACAAATCACATCGTCACCATCTTCATCGGATCACGGCGATGAAATCAATA